TTGTTGAGGAGTTATAGGAGAAGAGAATTCATGACTAATTCCTTCTGAGGAACAGAACTCATTAAACTTACTGTTTTCAAATTCCTTGCCATGATCACTTCTGATTCTGACAATACACCCTTCTTTTTCTCTTTGAATTCTTTTGCACAATTCTTTAAAAACTTCAAATACATCAGATTTTTCCCTAATGAAGTTAATCCAGGTGAATCTAGAAAAATCATCCACAACAACATAGGCATATCTTTTTCCACCTAGACTTTCCACCTGCATTGGTCCCATCAGATCCATATGTAGAAGTTCTAGAACCTTAGAGGTGGTCAGATGTCTTGACTTTGGATGTGACATCCTAGTCTGCTTACCAACCTGACATTCACCACAAACTCTCCCTTCATCAATTTGCAGTCTTGGAATCCCTCTGACTGCCTCCATGGAGATAATCCTTTTCATTCCTCTTAGATGAAGATGACCAAGTTTTTGGTGCCACAGTTTCACTTATTTTTCTTCTTTGGCAATAGAACACACAGTGGAGTAATTCGTGTTCTCAGGCTCCCACAAGTAACAGTTGTCTTTAGATCTGACTCCTTTCATTAAAACTTCTTGTTTTTCATTAGTTACAAGACATTCAGATTTTGAGAAGTTGACCTTGAATCCTAGATCACATAATTGACTGATACTAATGAGATTAGCAGTCAGGCCTTTTACCAATAGTACTTCATTTAGATTTGGAACTCCAGGGAAGTCCAAATTACCAACTCCTTTGATTTCTCCTCTAGCTCCATCTCCAAAGGTCACATAACTAGTGGTGTGAGGTTTAACATTATTGAGAAGGTTCTTGATTCCAGTCATGTGCTTAGAACACCCAATGTCAAAGTACCAGTCTTCCTTTGCAGAGACTCTAAGGGAAGTGTGGGATATCAGGGCAGTAGCCTTTTTCTTCCACTGTGGAGTATGTGGTACCTTGTTAGACTTAGGTTTGACACCTGGGTTCTGATTAGGGTATCCATACAATCTGAAGCAGAATGGCTTTATGTGACCAAACCTCCCACAATTATGACATCTCCATCTTTGGTATTTTTTCTTCATATTTCTCTGTTCCCAATGTTGAGTGTTATGTTGTGACATCTGCTTTGACATTTGTTTATCAGGCCTGATCTTCTTGTCTGCACCAGATTTCTTTGCTGCCACAAATCCTAGACCAGACTTGTTTCCCACATTTTGTCCAACCTGAAGGATTTCTTCCAATTTGTCAGTTCCATTTGTCAGCATCTTGACAGATTTGCTCATCTGGTTCAGTTTTGAGTTCAGCATTTGAACTTCCCCTTCTAGATGACTTATAGTTTCAATGTCAACCCTCTTTTCAGCCTCCAACTTTATGATGAGTTTTGTTTGTCTCTCATTTTGCATACAGACTTCAGCACTTCTGATACATAATTTCTTGTAAGTATCAGCGAGTTCTTCAAATGTCACTTCCTCATCACTAGTGTCACTTTCAGAGGTACAAACACCAGTTAGTGCAGTAATTAGTTTGGCAGATTCTTCTTCAGAATTACTTTCTGAATCACAGTCATACCAGGTAACAGACATTCCTTTCTTTTGTTTCTTAAGAAAGGTAGGACATTCAGCTCGAATATGCCCATATCCTTCACAACCATGGCATTGAATTCCTCTACCTTGATTTCCTTTCTCTTCAGACTTTGGTCTTCTGCTGGAGTCATAAGATCTGTTAATGTCAGAGGGGATGTTCTTAACATTTGACCTTGACTTTGGATCCATTCTCTTGATGAGTTTGTTGAATTGTCTTCCAAGCATGGCTATAGCTTCTGAAATATTTTTTTCTTCATCCTCCTTGTTTTCATCTTCAGTGTTGGATACAAGTGCTATGCTCTTGTTTTTCTTGTCAACATTGTCACTGATCCCCATCTCAAAAGTCTGAAGTGACCCAATGAGTTCATCCACCTTTAACTTGCTGATATCCTGGGCTTCCTCTATAGCAGTTACCTTCATTGCAAATCTTTTAGGCAGGGATCTGAGAATCTTTCTCACCAGTTTTTCTTCAGACATCTTTTCTCCCAATGCTCCTGAGGTGTTGGCAATCTCCAAGATGTTCATGTGAAACTCATGAATGGTTTCATCTTCCTTCATCCTTAGGTTCTCAAACTTGGTAGTCAGCATCTGAAGCCTTGACATTTTTACTTTGGATGTGCCCTCATGGGTAGTTTTGAGAGTGTCCCACACTTCCTTGGCCAGTTCACATTGATGAACTAATCTGAATATGTTTCTATCAATTCCATTGAACAAGGCATTTAAAGCTTTGGAATTACCCAGGGCTAACTCATCTTCTTCTTTGCTCCATTCTTCCTCAGGCTTCAGACTGATTGTCCCATCTTTCTCAGTTATGGTGGGATGGTTCCATACTTTGTCAGCAGCTCTCCAAGCCTTTTTGTCTAGTGATTTTAAAAAGGCAATCATACGAGGTTTCCAGTAGTCATAATTTGATCCATCCAGAATGGGTGGTCTGTTTCCAAAAACTCCTTCTTTGTCCATAGTGCCAGAAAGTGATATCCCTAGATCTCACCCAGTAATACAGGCAGGGTGCTTGCTCTGATGCCAATTGAAATTCTGGCAGCAGATACTCAATGTCACAGTGAATGTTATGACACCATATCTGACTTTCTATAAGATAGTAAATAAAAACAGTAAAGAACACAGTCAATTGTTTACCCAGTTCAGTGTGAAACAACACCTACTCTGGGGGCTACCAAGCCAGGGAGGAAATCCACTATAAGAGATATTAATTCAGGAATAAACCAACCAGTTTATCTCCTTCACTTAAGACCTACCCAATGCAACTTCAATCTAAGTTCAACTTAAACCTGAGTTCCTACTCACTCCCCCTCAATCACAGCAGTGATACTTAAACAATTGACTAATGAAATAATGAAGACACTCTTCAGAACATACACTTGATTATGCTTCACAGCTTTTTAATCAAGTAACACAAACACTCGTGCTTCACAGCTTTGAGTGATACATAAACCTAACTTGACTTTGCTTCAAAGCTTTAGTCAAGAGACACAAACACTCTTGCTTCAAAGCTTTGAGTGATACAAAAACCCTTATAATCAAAACCTATTCCAAGTCACTTATCACAATGATACTTGCTTGGATTACAGCAGTTAAAACTATACAGCTCCTAATTGATCTTCTGTCAAAGAGTTAATTTCCAATCAGCTTTCCTGTTGAACATATATGCAGCTGTTTCTTCAGTTAGGGCTTCCACGAAAAGCTAGGGTTAATTAGGGTTAACCTCAAGACTTGGTCACAAGACTTTATCAACCAGATTAGGGTTGAGCTAGGTTAACCCAAAGTCCACGTGAGATTCTGTTCTGGAAAGAATGAACCAACTTCCTGAAAAATCTCAGAATTAACCAAACTGCATAACTGTTAGATCAGTACAGGATGTCTTAACATTTGTTATGACATCAGAATTCCTGTTTACTGATTTTGGTAGAAGGCAATAAATGTGATCATTGCAAAATGCTCAGATACACACTCATAAACAGTAGCTATTGTATGCCATACTTTTTCTGCATAAAGTACCTAATAATCCAGAATGTTATGACATCAGTCATGACATTCACACACCTGGTTTTACCAAAAATACATGCCAATAACTAAACACTTAAAATATTGCTAAAAAGATAGAAACTATATTTGTTGCACACATCAGTAGAAACACGCTCCAAGTAAATAAAAAACACGTGCACATTATAACAACCTTGTCCTGCAGACAAGAGATGTATTATGCACACATGCTGGGACATCTATTCCCATGCATTTCCTTCACAAAAAATAGCTTGAGCACACCATGTTGTTTTGCATAATGCAGTCAATCTAAAAGGAACAACAATCCCCCATTAACAAATTTTTACAAAACATTATTCTTCAAGAACATACAAGATATGCAACGTAAGTTGAGCGTTAAGAACACCATACACAACCATAAAAATCAAATATAAACAACATTAGAGATCAGAGTAGAAACAACAAAAATCAGTTGCATAGTAAAAAATTAAATGGTTGCTACATAACATTCAATGCTCCATAACACACAGTCATGAAATCACACCTTTAATCATGCATGAACATATAGTTAGTAGTCAAATAAGAATCAACAAGATACTATTAACACAAATATATCAGGTCACACGAGGGTCAAATGTTCCCTCATGTGAGCATACATAATTAGAACAGTTAGTACCAATCACATCACATTAGCTAGTTAGTATTAAGCATACCAAACTCAGTCACCAGCATATCAGCAGAACTCATACACCACACATCAGTAATTAGTAGAACCCATGCACTAAACATCAATGGTTAGTAATCTCACCACTCATGCACATACCATTACTCCCCCTTTTTGCCACAATTTGGCAACGGTGTGAAAATAAAACCACAAAGCATGAACCGTTAACACTTGCAGAATCACAAACACCAAAGTTGATGACTTCAATATACAGAGCTTGATTTTTCTACTTCTATTGAAGATTTTGCATCTTCCACGCCGATTAGATATTTACTCTTGAGGTCTTAGTCTTTGCAAAGGAGATGAACTCCTTATATATCCACAAACATTTCAGCTCCAAAAGCACATGAGACAAATCTTCAATAATGATGATTTTTCAATATTAATCGATTTCTTTTAATAAATTTGAATCACTTGATTATTCTTAGTGAATTTTATCACATTACATCTTCCAAAAACACACATGATCAATCAAATCTTTATTAGGATGTTAAAGATCTTTGTAACCACTCTGAGAAAAATGTCTCACAGATCGTGGGAAATTTGGCTTGACATCTGTCCATGAAACACAACTCTAAATCTTGAACAAATTAAATAAAATCTTTACTTGATAAACATCAGAATTAAAACTTCTCAAGTAAAGGGTTCAGAATAAATATCTTGCAAAGACTGAACCACACTTTAAATCATTTTAAGGGATAAAACACAACTTCTTAAGATCACAACCTTCAGAATAAACCAAAGAACACAATATCACACGACTTCTTATGAACACTAGTTGGAAGCAATAACCTTTCTTTAGTATCATCATATCATCATCTCGCCTAATAATATCAAACTGGGAAAGGGAAACAAAAAAAAGCATAATATGGGCATAAGTACTAGATAACTAGAATCAAATAACATATACCATAAACTTGCAGTAGCATCAACAACAAGTTGATGTGACAAAGCTCCAACATTTCTCGATGTGTAACGCAATTTCTAAGACATATTTCCGAACCAATAACTTGTAAATGAAATTCATCAATCCACGAGGAATACCATCATTCTTAACCATAAATTCCTTCATTAACTTAGGATAACCAGAACCATCATTCAACATTGTCTTCAATAACTGAGCATCACTAAGAAGAACTATAATTTCATTATATTCTAGTGCTTCAACATAATGTTCTTTTTCAAGAGCCATTCTCATATGATGAGCAACATTCCATTTTTTCCTAGATGTTTTCTTACTAAGAAGCATACATTATTTCTTCTTCTTGGGTGTTTTCTTTGCCATGGTAGGCGTAGGGATCTTCTCAGAATGAATCCTTTTAGCCTTAAGCACAACCTTTCTTTTTTCCACCTTTTTCTTTGATTTCTTATCATTTTTTTTACTAATACCAACATATTTAGTAACACCATCATTGATAAGATCAGATTCATTATGAACTTCATTATTCTTATGGATATAACCCTTATCAGCATTGACAAAATCATTAACAACACCATCAATGTTATCACTCACATTATTCACCATATCATTCACTTCATAATTAACAGGGGAAACTTGCCCATCCTTCCTCTAACTTGAAAACTCAATCACCAACATGTCAGACAGGTTGTCTGGAACATCCTGGTTGACATCCACTACAAACAAACGGGGAATTATGGCGGTTTTATTACATCGGTTTTTGGTAACTGCCACAATTAACATACATTAAGTCGGTTTCAAACGCAATTATTAAAAATATATATGCCATGTTAAAATATGTTAAACAATGAATGCGTGGTATTAATTTGGGAAGCGTTAAGAAATAAAGCAAAACATGTATATAATTATATTATAAATATATTTCCAACTTGTGCCATTTACTTTACTGTAAAATGATGTGTGGGAACAAATTTATTAAAATAATATACCCATTTTCTATTATTTTTAATATAATTTATCTAATTAATTTTTTTAATAATTTATACACTAAACCTACACCACTTGAAACCCTTTAGTTTATTGTAACAAAAAACTGTGAAACCATTTCGTCGTCATCCCTCTTAAATCATTCATCGTTGTCGAGTTCCCTGTTTCCTCTCAAGCTTAGCCAACACCAAGTTCAAATCGCTAAAATCCTATTGAAACATAACCCGATCGTGCAACTATCAAACCCTTGAAGCATCACCCTAAGCTCGACCCATAATGCGATTTACCTTTCAAAAAACATCTCTCAAACTCACATCGTTCTTCTTGTAAGAACAATATTTGGTTCTGCATATGGCCTTTAGTTTTAATGATAGCAATATATTATTTCTTAGAGAACAATTTTGTACCCTAATGGTTTTGTCTAGTGTGTAGCTTTTGATATCAAGTTCTGACTCTAATAGAGTGGCGTGTGACATCATCAATTTCTAGAATCAACACACTCTGACTCTAGAGAGATACAAAGTACATGTTACAAAGAAATTGTCAAGTTCTGGAATGCTTCTAAACAACGGTTATGATGAATGTTAGTAAAAAAAACTTCTGATTGTGACTCTGATAGAAGAGCTTCTGAAGAATTCTCAAGATCTGGTGATATAGCGCTTTCAAGTTATGAGTTATGAAGACCAAAGCATGAAGACTCTAAAGACAAGGTTCTGGAGAACAAGTTCTGAAGACTCTAAAGACAAGGTTCTAAAGACTCTCATTCTGCTTTGAATCCAAGGAGCCAAGTCACTACAAGAATGAATGTCCCAAGCTAAAAAAAGACAAGCCAAAGTAGAAAGTCTTCAAAGGGAAGAAGAAAGAGCTGATGACTACCTAGTATGATTCTTATTCTTTAGAAGATGATTTTGAGGAAGAGCAAGCAAATATTGCGCTGATGGCAAGCATCAAAGCTTCTTGAAACCGCCTGGACGAACCTGTCATCTAGTGTAATAAAACATCAATGAAGTCGCCACCGAACGTCTTTTATCCCGCCGAAAGGGAAAGGTAAACATCGAGAAAACCTGAAGAGGGAGAAATCATGGTCTTTCGACCGAGAGATCGGGTAAAGGAGTCTGTTACGCAAGGGGAAGGTATTAGCACCCCACACGCCCGTAGTACTCTACGGTGTCCACTCTTGTTGTATAATCTAATGGGTGTGGTCAAAACCTATGTCTATGGCTTAAAGCTAAAAGGGAATGCATGCGAAAGAGACAAAAGAAAACAATGTAGGGAAAATAAAAGTTATGCTCGGTTGGGCCCTACCCCTTTGCCTACGTATCCCTTTTAAGGAATTAGAGCAGCCGTAGTTCGGCTCATATATTCTGGTTGGTATGTGTTTTTTAGTTAAGACAACAAAACAGACAAGATGGAAAAACATCAAATAAAACAACAAACAAATGAGATGGTAAAACATCGGCTAATTAATAACAAATTAACATGTCAAAGATGGTGAAACACCAAATGATAAAACATCACACCTAACCATGACATTGAGAATCAAAGTAGGATAACAAACATGTGCGATGGCGAAACATCGGCTTCAAACAAATGTGCGATGGTGAAACATCGGCTAAGAGATAACAAAGTATCATGGCAAAGATGAAGAAACATCAATAAAATGGATGACAAAACATCACACCTAACAATGATATTGAGAATCAATGTAGGATAACAAACATGTGCGATGGGGAAACATGGGCTTCAAACATATGTACGATGGCGAAACATCGTCTAAGAGATAACAAGATGGCATGGAATGGTAAGGATGGCAAAACATCAATAAACCAGGTTTAAAAGCAAAGCCAAGAGGCGCACAAATAAATAAGATTGATTTGTATCTTTTACCTTGAAGAGGGGGGGGTTGAATTTATTAGAGGTGTTTTATGATTTGCCAAGAAAACAAATTTTTTTTTTAAGATGCAAAATGCAAAGGAAGGAAAAACAACTAAAGGGAAACTAGCCTAGCACTATCCCTAGTGTTATCATACAATGATTGACCCTAAGGTTGAGGATAAAGGAAAATCCTAACCTATGCTAGCATACATGGATTCCTACCTTAATCAACATGGCAAAGGAAGCTTAACAAAACTATCCTATAGGGAACAAGCAATGAGAGCGAAGTCGTGATTTTAATTTCTAAATTGAGTGACTCATCGATCAACAATTAAAGAAGAAAAACAATAAACATCCTATAGGGAACATGCGCTGAGAGCGAAGTCGTGATCTCAATTTCTAAATTGAGTGACTCATCGATCAACAGTTAAAGAAACAAACAATAAGCGTCTTATAGGGAACATGCAATGAAATCGAAGTCGTGATCTCAATTTCTAAATTGAGTGATTCATCGATCAATAGTTAAAGAAACAAACACAACGCATGTATCAAACAAAAATAGAGGGCTTCCTGACATATATCAGCAACAGAGGTCCCATCATGCAACATAGAACTATGAAAATAGAAGAGAGGAAATAATGCAATACCAAACGGATAACTATCCGTAGCAACTGAGCAAGAATAAAAGAAACCCAGAGAACTTCAAGAAAGCTGGCATCAGTAGACAAATCAAGTCAGAAATTATGCCATCGTGATGTAAGTATTGAGATTTTCAGATATGAACATATCCCATGGGCAATGTATAGCATTCATAATCACATATATTTATCCTGCATAGAAGATCAAATACGACAAGAACAAGAGTAGTTCCAATATAATAAATTGTGTTCCACAAATAAAGTGAAACACAGTAGCCTCAAGTCAAAAATGGAAAACTTTTCTCAAAGCACCTCGCACATTCAACAGACAAGTTAGTATTCCCATGAATAGAATGATGATTCACATAAGGGATGGATGATGACACCATAATGAAGTGAGGAAACATGATGTAAAATATCAAAACACTAGATGTGATACGGTGGGAGAACTGACTCGGGATTTTGCGTTTATGTTTGCAAATGTTTCGGTTTAGCAAGAGTCGCCACCGACTTTTTATTTTATCCTAAGGAAAGGTCAGAAAGCACAGGAAAGACCTTTGAGATGTTTTCTTGAGTTCGGGGAGTAGATTATAGAAATGGAAGGTATTAGCACCCTTTCTATCCATGGTTATCCATGGGCTCTTAGTTACTTGCTTAGATCACTTGCTTTGCTTTTCAATTGTTTGAAATGGTGCTTTGTGTGTGATTTTGAAAGATATTTTGAAAAGAGGCCATCGTTGTGGCAACCTTTGTAATGATTCTTGTTTGAATGTATACAAAGGTGTTTTTGTCTTTTTGAAAAGTTTTCAATGTTTGAAAGTAGGGTTTTGAAATTTGTGTTGTGAAGTGTATTTTGAAGATAGCAAGGATGTTTTTTTGCAAGTTTTGATCAAGTAACTAAGAGTTGTCTACCCTATTTTACTCAATGATCTTTCTTATGTTTTTAACCCTTTTAACAGTGTTATTTCACCATTGTATTTGGTGAACAACCTTGTGTTAGGATGTTAAACGGGACAGGCGCGGGTCATCGTATAGACCATGATAGCAATGGTGTCAAGTATTTTTGGCAACTTTGTTGAGGGACTTGATCATTTTGTTTAGGCAACTCAGATAGCGTCAACGAGGGACTATGATCTTTTGTTTGTTTTTGTTTTGCCAAAGTACTTGACATGCAACCATGGCCCATTTTTGAAGGCAACAAGTGGATTGAAACCCTAGGGGTGCAAGTGTGCATTGTGTTTGTTTTTTCATGCATTGTTATCTTTGGATTAGGTCAAACTACTTGTTGATTTTATTTTGTATACAAACCCTAGGTCTAATCATGGCATAATTGAAAGCATCTAAAAGTGCGAGGATTTAAATTCTACACTATTACAACATGATATAGGGAGGGGAGTTCAAATTTGAATTGGGGATTATTTTGCAAGAAATTAAATCCTAAATTATTACAACCAAATTGAATGTACAAGATAGAATATGTACAATAAATAAATAAAATACAATAAATAAATGTTAAATAAAATGTATTATGCAAAAAGTTTTTATGTATGTAAAAAGTAATTTTTTAATGTGAAATGTAAATAATAATAAAAAAGTCAATTTTTAATTATTTTGTTCTTTTAGGGAAAAAAACCCTAATTTTTAAATAAATAGTATTATTTATTATTTATATACAATAATGTATTAATTTGTACAAAAAATAAAAGTATATTGAAAAAAAGGCATTTTTTAGTATAAAAATATTAATGAAAATAAAATGTATTATTTTTGTATTTTTTTTGTTCTAATTATTTAATAAAATAGTATATATGTGTATTAATATATATATTAAATATATGAAGTGTATAACAAACAAAAATTAATTATTTAAAAAAATGTATATATTTTAAGGAAATATTTTCAAGTGTGTATAAAAATAATAAATAAAAATAAAAGTATTTTTTGCATTATTTATACATTTAAACAAAAATAAATATAAAGTATTTAACATATTAATACTAGAAATAATTAAAATAAATGCCAAATAAATATAAAAATTTATAAAAAAAAATTTTTAGTACTTTTTATATTTGAAAATAAAATATCAAGGTCAGAGAAAAAAAAATG